AAATTGGAATTATGAGTTGCCGAGAGTGGAAAGGGTAACTTGAAATGTCATTATTAGGATTGGAATTGAAGTCGCAGAAGATAAAGCATTTGAGTACCTGAGATGTTAAAGTCAGAAATCCTAACGAACAGGATAGCCTGAAAGGTTGTTATCAAGATGGAGGTAGTGTGTACAGAACATAATGTTAGCTATGAATCAGTCAAAACGATAAGAATATAGCATTAGAATATTATCAGCAATTAGCCGAGACCGATAATTTACATGAAGCATTTAGTGTGGAGTGTGGAGAATATAAGAAAGCAATACAAGCATGGTCAGCTAGGTACTCCCTAAAATGGACTAGTGGTTAAATCATGGTGTGTTTTTGCAATATGACTGTATACTCCTTACAACATGCTAATGATCGTGAACATAGCTACGTATTCCTCACACATGTTAGAAATTTTTGGGCATGGGATATGGGGTATACTTGAAAGGTGATGTGCCATATTTTCTTGACTAATATATTATTTTGGTTTTTTTTGTCGAAAAGTTTATCTTCAACTTACCGATTTCTCATTTCTCACTTATAATGCCAGAGTCTGAATTAAACAATGAGCGCAGCTGGGTATTTACAACAGTTTGAACATGGCTATGAACTTCCCGCACCATAGCTAAAAGGTTGGGCACAGGCAGAAGACTATAATATGCATATGGGGACATCCTAGGAAGGCAAGGTTCTGTATTTGGGTTTTGAAATTATAGTGTTTTCTGAGTTTATTTTCAACCCGCTAATTTTCGTTTTACTTACATAGCTAATGATAGTGAAACAATAGATCAGTGATATTTTCTTTGAGTAAACATGGCTATGCATTCCCCACAATATGTTGTATGCGCATGGCTGTGTACCCCACAATGTGCCAGAGATTTGAAAGACGGTTGCGTACTCCAGCAACGGAATAGTGATTTGAGCATAGGTGCGTGCCCCGCAATGTGTTGGCGTTTCGATCATACCTGTGTCCCTCCACAACGTGTTATGCCCTGGGTTTAATACCCTTAAATTGTTATTGTATAAAATATAAAGGAAATATTTTTTGGAAGCACCTATACTACGATGCTCTTTACTACTGTCTCTTCTATTTGGCACGGGCAGCACATACATATACAATTCCCGTAGCTCTTTTCATCGACTTTAGTTATAAATAATGGGTCGGCAACAAAGAATTCAGGATGATGATAGATTCAGGATAGTGGTGGATTCAGGATTATAGTGAAGGGCTTGGAATTCGAGCGAGAATAAAAAAAAATTACTTACGATTAAGAAATTTTTTTATTTGTTATTAAATAATTAATGATTAAACATTATATTAAATTTATTTATTAAACATTATATTAAATTTTATTAAACGCTATACTAAACGCTATTAAACACTATATTAAATGTTATTAAAACACTATATTAACCGCTATTAAATGTTATTAAATGCTATATTAAATACTATTAAACAATTAAATGCTAAACTAATTAAACAATTAAATACTATATTATTATATAATTAAATCCCAATCCCAATCTATCTAAATTTTATCATTTTCATAACAGAAAAAATTAATAATTGAAGTTTGTTTTCGAGACTTTCGTTCAAGTTGCTGAGTTAAAGACAAATATTTTTTAAAAACATCTATGTTCTCTGTTTTGAATTCATCCGATTGCTATTGTTCGAAAAAGGTAATCCAATTTGTTAAAGATTTTACTGCATCCCCAAAAGAAATAAGTATTGATTCCTCTTCAGATTTATCATTTTCATTAACTTCTTCCATTTCCTCTTGAATTAACTTTATAATATTATTTTCGCTTAAAATAGCTTCAGTTGGAATCTTTTCCTCTAAATCATTAAAGAAATCATTCAATGCATCTACCAGCAGAGCAACATAAGAATCAGTTTTATTTAAATCTTCAACTATTTGATTAATATCTGCTATTTCATGTTCTCTTGCTTCTTATTGAATTTGTGTTGCATTATTCATTTCTTTATTAGTTAAAGAAGGTAATATTCCAGTTTTTCTCCAACAATTCCAAATCGTATTTTCAGTTACATGGCTCCATGCTTCAATACATAATTAATTGCATTCTTAATATTGATTTTCTCTTTATTGATATCCTTGTCTTCTTCAAAAAGTTTCTTTTTTTTTTTTTTTGAGTAGGTAAACACCATTTCTTTATTTATTCATATATTATAAGGTATACATTTGAAAAGAAACAACATCTCTTACGTGCGATTAGCAGTAAGTTTAATGCTAGTCTGTCTACAGTAATCATTTAACTTCTACTAAAAAAGATATTTTAAAACTAATATACTAATCAAATGATACTGAGCAGCTTTTTCAAAGAGTTTCAATATATTACAAACATATTTTCTCTTATAATAATTCTTAAAACTTGCTGGCATCAAGAGGTTGGAGATGACTTGTCATATTAGGAGGTAAAAAAACTACTTCAATATGAGTTAATTGAAGTTGAGAGGCATTAGATTGATTTCCATTTGATCTATTATGATAAACTTTTGTTCCACGATTTCTTGATCTACTATTATAACTATTATAACCATTATGACCATTATGACTATTGTAACTTTGTAAAACTTGATTTTCTATAATTAAATTTAAAGAAATATTAGATATTTTTTTAAAATTA